CTTAAAGAAATGTATTTTCATTATATATCAAAACTCGGGATGTCATGTTCCGATACAGACCAAAAGCATAAACAATACAATATAGGCCTTACAACAGTTACATATAACTACTGGTTTATAATCCAAAAATATCTTGACAATGTCATCCAACTTATGCTCTCGCGCCACTACCTGTAATACAAAGAAACTGAGTGGGTCAGGCTTGGGAGCCTGGTGAGCATATAATGTTTTCAACCCACAATAAATAAATATATTTAGTTCATCAACCAACAATAACCCAATTACCCATTCCCGTTATCCTCACTTTATGTCCCTAAAGCAACAACTATTACAAGGGACCTAATCTAGGATTTTCATCAGGACGGACATTACTGCAAAGGGGTTTCCTTAACAATAGATGTCCTAAAGGCAACCATGAGGGGGATAGAGTACACCGGTGAACACATCGTTCACAACACCTACAGGTTATGAGCCTGCTAGTGTTCCACTGGACTGTCTAGAATGAGTCCGTGGTCGTCATCCATACTCCGCTAGATGACTAGATCAACAACGACATTGAGGCCTCTCATCATTTTTATTTCATCACACACCAACTGACTACCCATGTTCTACCCAACATATTAGTAGATAAAATATATACATTTATATATAGCTTAAAACCTGTACAAAACATCCATTCAACAACTAGTTCAAATAAACAAATAATATATAAACACATAGCACGTATTTTTATAAGAATACTTCATATCTATGTGTTAGAAGAAAAAAGAATATACACTTACTTGATCAGAAGATGATCGGACATCACTACGACTCTAAGAGTAGTGTGCTTCGGTGAAACCGGGAGATCTTCACGCACCGGGCTTCTCGCGGACAGGGCTTCGGCTCGAAAACTCTTTTCTTTTTGGGATCTTCGGTGCTTCGGGACTCGCTTCGGGTCTCGGGATGATACCGGGGCTTCGGGGGGGGGGGGGGGGGGGGGGGGTTAAAATAGGGCTTAGAGAGAGTATTGGGAGTGAGAGAGAAGATATTGAGCAACCAAACTCGGCTGCCCCTTGAATTCTATTTATAGGGCCAACATTCTGTACTCACGTCGTGAGTTTAAAGTGTTCACGTCGTGAGCACAGTAGGTCACTGTGTTCGTCATTCGTCCACTTGCTCTGGAGGACGTCCAGTCTGTTCTCACGTCGTGAGCACTGTGCTCACCTCGTGAGTTCTGACACAGCCTCGAATAATGTGTTCCGAACTTCAGAAATTCATATCTTTCGCATACGAACTCCGTTTTCGACGTTCTTTATATCCACACGTAGGTGAGATCATGCTCTACAACTTTCGTTTAGACTCCATCGCCTAATTTTGAATTTATTTTTATTATATTATTTTTAGTAGGCCGGGACAGGAAAACTCCGTTATAAATCCATAACTTCTTCATCCGACATCCGTTTTCGTCTGTCTTTTTAGCGTTGGACTACTATCGATGAGATCTTCAATTCTCATTTAGAAAGTTTTGGCTAAATATCACTCGATCTCAATCTCGAGTTTCGGGCTGCATACTGCTAAGCTGAAACTTAGAAAAATCATAACCTCCTCATACGAAGTCAGATTTGGGCATTCTTTTTATGCACGCTCTCGGTTTAACGTATTCTACGACTTTCGTGTAGATTACTAAGGCTAGATATCGCTCTATCTTAAATTCATATTTTACGTCATTCAGCGTCGTGCCGGTTCTGTCGCGAAACTTCGACAGGTCATAACTTCTTCGTTATAACTCGGATTTCGGCATTCTTTATATATTCGGAAACCTCGTCACGACCACTACGTCTTCATGTATCGATATCGGTTCTATATAACATTTTATTTTTACGCTTATCTTTATTATTAATTCAATTAAGTCACACAATTAAGCACAAAACACATAATACTCAAATAATACATTCTTATTATTTCAAAATGAGTTACAAAGGTTAACCTAGACTATTACATCAACATTAATGCCTAGCCCAGAAACACGGGCGTTACATATAGACTATGCGGCAACCTTCTTGCTTGTTTCTTGCTATGAACTTCTTGCATGCTATTTCTTGTGACAAACCCACAACCCCTTCAACCGAGCCTTGTGCTCTGATACCAAGTGTTGGAAATCAGCCCTTCCTTTAAACCCACATACAAACCCGCAACCATCGACTCTCATGTATTGCTCAACGTTATTTGGGTTTTCTTTATGTTTCTATTTACTTGCAAATAGAAATTGATTACATCTATTACAGAAAATATCATACACTATTTATAGACTAACCAATTAAGCTGCTACACCACTACCACTACGCCACATATTGTAAACAAATTAAAGAAAATAAACATTCAACTATTTCCTCCTTATTCTCCATAATACTAGGTCAATCACAAGACTTGGTAACACCTACTTTCTGAATACTTAGTCCAATATGGACTATTCAACTGTGATCCACTTCATGATTACTGACTCTTGGATTACCCACTGACCCGCAACTCACCAGTGACCCATAACCCATCAAGATTACCCAACATAGTGTAGTGGGAACAAATTAAGTTGCCGTCAAATCCCTCTTTCCTCCCCACACGCACTGTGAACCACTCCCATTGTGAACCATCTTCCAGTATAGTGTAGTAGGAAGAGCATAGCTAGGGATTTGTTCTGTCATTGGTGTCTCCTTTTCTAGTAGTGTGCTCCCTAATAAAAAGTTATCAACGATTATAGTGTAGTTATTATTATAATGTTTCTTTTTGTAAACAACACTAGTTTCATGAAACTCTAGTCAAGTAACATGATTGGGATTAACTACATCCTCAAATCCCTTTGGTTAGTTCATGTAGATCTCCCGGTCCAATTCTCCATGCAAGAAAGCATTCTTCACATCCGTCTACCATAACTTCCAATCTTTACTAGTTGCAAGAGCTAGCAACACCCGTAGAATAGTTATCTTCGCCACTAGACTAAATGTTTCATCATAGTCCAATCCATATTGATGTGAGAACCCTTGAGCTACCAAACAAGCCTTGTATCTTTCAATTGATCCATCTGGTCGACTCTTTATTTTATAAACCCACTTGCATGAAATGGATTTTATATCTCTTGGTCTTGGTACCAGTTCCTAAGTTTGATTCTGCTCTAAGATTGTAACTTTTTCTTCCATTGCCTTCTGCCAAGCTTTATTCTTAAATCCTTCTTCATATGCCTCCGACTCTTTAACACCGTGTTCTAAAATGGCTGAATTATCATACTCGGGATTTGGCTTTCGGATTCTTTCTATCCTTCGAAGTTGTGGAGGTGGCGTCTCCCTTTCACCAGCGTTACTTGTGTGAGTTACTTCTTGCTCAATGACATCAATGTCACTTGGATCTTCAAGTATATCAACACTTGACCAAATGTGTGAAGTTTGTTCTCCCATCTTTTGTTTTAGAACTTCTTCAATATTTTCCGAGTATGGTAATACTTTATTATTTGAGGACCACCATGAAGATGCTTTATCGAACACTACATCTCTTGAAGTGTAACATCTTCCACTTGTTGGATCACAACACATCCACCCTTTTCTTTGACTGACATATCCAACAAATATACACCTGACTGCTTTCTTGACAAACTTGCTACGTAAATGGCTAGACACAAATACGTAACAGACACAACCAAATACTCGGAAGTAGATAACAGTAGGTTTCATGTTCCATAGTGTCTCAAATGGTGAGATGAAACCTAACCTTGGTTGGGGAAGTTTATTGATCACATGGGCAGCAGTTCGCATTGCAAAATCTTCCTGGGATATTCTTCGCGTGTAGCATGCTTCAACAAATTTCTGCGAGATGACGATTCTTTCTCTCAGCTACACCATTTTGTTGAGGTATGTTGGCACATGAAGAAAACCAACACATATCTCGAATAATCATCGATGAATGTCACCATGTTGGACTAAGTATTCAGAAAGTGGGTATTACGAAGTCTTGTGATTCACCGAGTATTATGGAGAATAAGGAGGAAATGGTTGCATATTTATTTTCTTTCTTTTGTTTACAATACGTGGCATAGTGGTAGTGGTGTAGCAACTTAATTGTTTAGTCTATAAATAGTGTAAGATATTTTCTTTAATAGATGTAATCAGTTTCCATTTGCAAGTAAATATAAACATACAAAAAACCCAAATAACGTTGACCAATACGTGAGAGTCGATAGTTGCGGGTTTGCAGGTGGGTTTAAAGGAATGGCTTATTTCCAACACACTGTGGTTCATTTAATCTCTCAAACCCCTTCCCAAAAATTATTTATAAAACTTGCATTATAAATCATCTGTTGTTCAGCTTAATCATATCTTCATCAATTTATCATTGGTTTCTATCACTATGTCCAAGATTTAACCGGAGCTGCTTCTGTTTTCTGCCTATAGACGTGACTAACGGGATAGACTACGACGATCATAAAGGATTAACGACGGTGTGATTTTGATCAAATGGACTGCCACAATTCTTATTTTGCCACTGGTGATGAAAGGGTGAGTGGGGAGAGAGGGAGGGGGAATTAGTGTAACAGAATGCAACTACAAGTTAACAAAACATGAATATTGCTTATGGTTTGAAATTGAAAGTTGGACCGAAGTTTATAATCAACTTTAAAAAATTTATCTTAAAAACGTTATTGATTTCGGGAAATGATTTTTGTCATAAAATTGTTTTATTACTTGCTCGCTCATATCATAGAAACCTTAGGAAAAAAAAAAGTCAAGAATGTTTTTATATAATTTTTGTTGTGAGGATCACTTATATAGCAATTTTACAAGAAAATATGTTACATGAAATTGATAATTAACTTGTGATACATATTTGAAAGTTAGTCACTTCATCATATAATATGTTTTCTTAAGCATTTTAGTTATTAAACACATTAAATGAGGAAAAAGTTAATCGATCTTATCAAAAAATTTGTCGCCTACTTGTAACTTAATCACGTCAACTACGTGTTGCATGCTCATAAAGTCAATCCTGTCACAACTTATACAATCTCACTATAACATCTTTCTAATTACATCCAAAACACTAGCGATCCACTCTTGCTCATTTCAATTCTGATTTTTCATCATGTCTAAAGAAGTAATTTATCACACCGCACCCACAACCTACGCCGCAACAACCACTGTCGTGGAGGTGGGGCATGAGACCGTCGAGCAGTCAGATCGTGGAATGTTTTATATTTTCGGGAAGAAGGAAGAAGAGACAAAATTTGATGACGAACAGCAAGTTCTGAAGGTTAAATCGGAGAAGTTAAAGCAGGATTTGCTCGACTTTATACAGGGTCATACGAATTCCAGTGGTGTAAGTTTTCAGTCTCCATTACAGATTTAAATACCGTTGTAAGATGAATGTACGCGGGAGTATTTATGAATGAAGTACAACCAGTGATGATAGAGCCTTTGATCAATTATGTTCTTTAATTTTCCACATAATAACTATAACTTTTGAATCATTCAGTTCATTAAAATGGATTATTTGATCAAATGGTAAACTAGAATTGTTTGTTTCCTTTTTGACATAATCCGTGTGAATGTCTGATTATGATGATATAACTAAAAATATGTTTTCTTTGGTGAAATTTCTTTACAGTCAAATGTGATCCAGGACAAGACATCTGTACCAATCCAGAAATACAAAGAAGAAACTCATGTTGTCCAATCAATGGAGAAAAAAGGTTTCATCGAAAAGATCAAAAGTGATCACCAGGACAAGACGTCTGTACCAATCCAGAAAGGCGAAGAAACTCATGTTGTCCAATCAAAGGAGAAAAAGGGTATCATCGAAAAGATCAAAGACAAACTCCACGACAGCCCAATCGAAAAGATCAAGGAGAAACTCCCCGGCCACCACAAGAAGACGGAGGAGGTGCATGGTGCTCATCCACCAACACCTGCGGTGGTGGCACACGCCCATGAAGGTGAGCATAAGGAGAAAAAGGGTATTTTTGAGAAAATAAAAGATAAAATCCCAGGGCATCATCCAAAGAGTGAGGAAGAAAAGAAAGGAAAATGAAACGGAAGAGCATTTGTTACTTGATTGCGAGGTCGCGGCTCAGGTATGAGTGTGATTACTTATATCATATGCAAATGCAAATGGAAAAGGTTAAGCAAATGGGTTTGTGGGTTTATATAACGTTTTCTTTCTTTTGGCTTTTTGTTTGTTGTTTTTTTGGTGCTTCAAAATAAGTGTTGTTTCATGTAATTTTTAGTTTGGTGTTTATTTATTTGGGTTAATTATAGATGTGTATTGTATTATAGAATGTTATATAATGTACGTATCGGTGCTACATGATCTTTATATCTTTATATAAATACTAGTTTATAAGATGTGGGAACCACGAGTTATAAAATTAATTAAACTTTCATAATAAAAATTTATAATGGTTAATTAATTATTTTAAATAAGTCATTTTAAATAAATTATTAATTAAGACATATATCAAAATTTTAAAGTTATTATAACTTCAAATTTAAAATGTAATTAGAAAATATAAATTTGAATTTTGAAATGAGTTGCCTAATATATCTACATGACACATGACATAATATTAATGAAGAGTTGTATGAGAGTGACACTTGGCAAAAGGAGATTAAAACTATTCATTTATTAGAATAGGGATTATATAACGTATGTATCCGTGCTACATGATCTTTATATCTTTATATAGGTTGGGGTCTCATGTCATTTCTTATTAAAAACTTTTTTGAAAAAACAATATTAGATTCCACATATATCTTATATTACCCTTCAACTATCTGATTAAGTTAGAGTTTTTTTTAAACTTATCTTTGCATTGTGAAATAAGCATGAATCAAGCAAGAGGTGGGTACATATTTGCTTTTACTTAATTTTGGTAGTGAACCCCCTTTTTCGTGGACTCTAGTCTTCTACTTAAAAATAGAGAAAAAAATGATTTTGATGCGGAGGAATGAGAGTACGGAAGAAAGAAATAAAAGAATCTTATTAAACACAAGTAAACAGTACTGTGGACGCAGAACAAAATTTCAAGAGTAACACACATGATTTTAGGGACAACATACCGAAAAATTTACATTATGTCGGAAAATTTCTCAAAAAATTTACATTATGCTACAAAAATTAGATGGGTTGCACCGGTCACTCCGAGAACCCCCTAAATTTGTCCATGCGGGTAAGTCGCTTATTTAATGGTATTATCATAAAACTTTTACTTAATATTTTTATTTGTATACTAGAATGGATTTATTGTACCTCAACGGTATAGATGTAATGAGAATATTGTGTTTATTTTCCAAGTGGTAGAGGTTTAACTCTCGTTGTGGCCAAATATATAGATTTAAGAGTATGATTAGTAGATGTGAGTTAGTCGTTCTAAAAAAATTATATTATATATGATTCGTTTATTCGTATAAACATAATTATGAACAAGATAAGAACTTAGCGGTTAATGATCCATGTTGATGTGGTGCCATATAAAATTAGTTGATTCACCAAGATGATATGTTACTTATGTGTGTTCATCAAACCGCCCTTACCGCATAACACGTTTTAGAACTTTCATGGCGTGGTTTATAATTTTGTTAAACCGCACAATAAGGTACTGTTTGTGTGTGTTTTGATTACCAAGGACCTCACTCAATCCATCACTGATGACCCGACATGTTAACCTCCATACCCTTTTTCCATCAAGCAATACATGCAGACCGTCTAAAGAGTTCATTCGGGAGGTCGATGGTCCAAGCCTTTCCACCACTAGGCCACAAAGGTGATTGTTTTGTATGTTGCTTTTAGCTACAAAACCATAGTTTAAACCACACCAACATTAACTTTTAAAGACAATATACATTCATCCTTCATTGTACATTACACGTTAGACACAGAGTGATGCCATTCCAAGACATAATGGACAAATAAAGTCAAATGTATGTTGTTTGACAAGTTGTCTGTCACACCCCTAACCGGCGGCAGAAACGTTGGGTGGTGAGACGACATCATGAATCACAGTCATTTACATACACAGAACAAGCACAACAAATAACCTAATATCAGAAATATTATTACTGATAAAGGGTTTACATTGCTACTTTTCACAGTTACATCAACTGAAATACATAAGTAACCCTCCAATGGGAGGCTACTGTGACAACCTGAAATTTCTAACTTGTGTAAACATTCAAATTTATCTGTGTTAGACTCATTTTTGTTTCCAGTTATCACTGTTTGGAGCCTGTTTTGAGTATTCTAACCCTAGTGAAACAAAGGAATCAATATTTGGAAGTATCAGTTTAAGTTCTAAACTACCTAGCAACCGTAAACCTCCTCAAAAAGGAGTTTATGGTCGAGACCTTGAGTATACGGTCAGGGTAACCGTAAGCTCGCTTACGGTCAGGAGAAACCCCCCCCCCTTTGACCGAGAACTCTACCCTATATATAGGGTATTCAACCTTCATTTCACACTTTAAACACTTCAAAGGCTTTCTCTCTCTACTCTCTCTCTTCAATTTTCGAGTTTTGCTCAAGAGATCCTCAAGAACACGGTTGTGTTTTTGACCAAAACACCTTCTTTGCCTTCAAAAACCGTAAGCATCATCTTCCCCTTCATGAATCGAGTTAAAATCCTTCATTTTGGACTTAAGATCATCACTCTTTGCCTGAACAAAAGAATTTACGGTCCTATGAATCTTCATAGACCGTCAACCCTTATAAAGAGTGTTCTTTTAGCCTTTACCCTTCCTAAGGCTAAGCATGGTCCCTAGAATCCGATGCCTTTGAATGAAGCCCTTGAAAACCATCATTTGTACAAGATTGATGAGTTTACGGTCTAGTGTATCTCCTTAGACCGTACACCCTTTAGTGACCGTAAACTCATGGACCGTACACCCTTCAATGACCATGAACCCATGGAACCGTAAACCCATGGAACCGTGAACTCCATGACCGTAAGGTCATTGGACCGTAAACACAAGGACCGTGAACACTGGACCGTGAACTCCAATGGTCATACCTTTTTTACTGTAAACTCTATAGGGTGGCCATATACCCTAGTTATGCAATCATATGTGATTGTATCCAATAAATCTTAGAGTTTCCTAGCCTATAAGGGTGTTACCCTTCTTATTTAGTCGTCCATGCACTAAAATTCATACACATACTTGTCTACATGTGTCTGTTAGGATCATTGTGTGCTCAAGGTTACACCTGACACTCTGCACTTCCAACTGCACATCAGAACCACTCACAGAAGGTGAGTTCATACCCCTACATTTTTCATGTTTTTAATGTTTTCATGGGGAGAATAAAAGCTAAACTTAAATGCTTTCAATAATATAAAACTCATGAAATTCTCATACTTTAACCCCTTTTGTACTGTGTTGAGCATAAGGGACTTTTTCACTAAAATTGCATAGTTTTCCGGACTCGCTATTCACTACGTATTCATGCAAACTATAATCGGTATAGTTTGGGATTTTCTAAACATAACAAGTACAGAAACTTTCACTACTAAACATATAAACTAAGGCAGAAACAGTTTACAATTTATATCACTACTTCATCATGGTATTCATAACTGTAATTATCACTACATACGGTATACATACGGATTTTCACTATGGTAGAACGCTACTACACTACATGTAAACTAGTTTGTACGATACTGTGAGGCGCTACTTCAATGTTGTACCCTTAGGTGTACATGGATAAATCCTATCATAGTATAACCAGAGTCTCCTGGAGGGAGAGCGTGAGATTTGTGAATAGATCTATTCGGGACTGACAATCCCACACCTGAACTGCTAGCTACAGTTAGGCGGGCACGCCTGGGGTGTACAAATGTCATTTAACTTGATGCCTGAAGAACGTTGGAAAGGTATCTAGTCATATCAAGCATGGTTATACGACTCACATTATGTATAAATCACCTTTAGTTTACAACCTGGCACTCTTCAACAGTTTTATTTATACTAAATAGAACTAACGCACGCTACGTATACTAGCTAAAGCCAGGGTTTTCAAACATAACCGATTATGCAATGGTTTCACATACAAAATACTTATACTTCATGATTAGCCTTAGCTAGTAACATGAGGTAGTATTTTCGCATATCACTACAGTTTTCAGTAACGAACATTCATGGTTTTATTACAAAACTGATAACACTACATTCTCACTAAAGAAAATATCGGATTTTCTTGAAACTATACAAACACTTTTACAAGCTCATCAACAAGTTTTCATTACAAACTACTGCTTATGAACTCACCAGCTTTATGTTGATATTTTCAAACTGCTTGTATTCTCAGGAAATCAGTAGACAGGTACCTGCTGGATTTTTGAGGAGTTGGAGTAATAAGAGTTTATGCTTATATTCATGCAAACTATTGATGTAATTCAAACAAGCTTCAGACAATTACAAATTGATGTAAACATTTTTATCTAAGTATTCACTGTAATAGTTGTGTTACTATGATTGCTATTATACATTGGTTGTGATGCTACACATGACGTCCTCCACCTCAGAACGTTTCCGCCATCTCAGTTTTGGGGTGTGACAGCTACTAAAACTAATCTATAGAAGACTGTGACTCCATGACTTTATTCCATAATTGAAATCATCATGCTCTTATTTCATGAGAATACATGCATCCTGTCACACCCCCAAACCGGAACGGCGGAACCGTTCGGGGGCGGAGGACGTCATGTTTAGTATCACAACACATGCATCATAGTAATCAAAGTAACAACGACCTTTGTATAAATATTAAAGTGTTTACAATGTATTAGATTCACAAAAGACTGACTCCAAAGTAAATAACAAAACAAGACATGAAGCTATATGCTCCGTCTTCTGAATCCCAGTGCGCGTACCTGTCTACTAGTTTCCTGAGAATACAAGTTATTTTGAAAGAGTAGATCAGCATTTAAGCTGGTGAGTTCATAAGTATTTTAGTGATGAAAAGTAAACTGTAAGTTATTTTAGAAAAGTTTGCATGTTCCTCCAGAAAATCCTATATCTTCTGATGTGATGAAAGATAAGTAAAAATGACTCTAGAATTCCTTCTATGAGTACTAAATGGATACAAGTTATATACAACCCAGAGTAAATAGACAATCTATTGTGTGAATCTTACCTAAGCCCACAACCAAACAAGGAACATGAAATGAGGCGGAAGTCACACATCTCATTGTTTGTTAGATCTTCATTGTATATAACCCTGGCGTATTCATTTGGTACTTACGGAGTTAACTGTAATAGTTCTTTTATATTTGATGAAAACATTCTTTAAGAAAATA